GTAGATGGACTGGATCGATCATAAAAACGGCTATTTTCCGTAATCGTAACAAAATAATCAAATCTTGCTGCTTGCTCTTACCATAGCGATAAATAAATACATCTAGCACGTCTAGTCTGTTCTCGAAAGTGCTCTTGCACTTTTCCGAAACGTGGTCGTTGGTTGTTTGTTGCATGAATTTTCGTAAATCACTTGCACCGCGTGTTTATTTGTTCATTTTAATTAATTTTTTTCAATACATCATCCATAGGGATGATTTAAATACTAAATTGGGTTGCTTATTTTCTTTGTATCCATATGAACTAAACTTTGTTAAAATAGCAAATTTGCATTGTTTCAGCTTCAATTTCCAAAAGCTGATTATCAAAATTTGTTTGAATTGGTATGAAATTGTTATTTTATTATCCAAAATACATATCGGAAAAATCCATATTTTCTTGCAGGGATTTTATTCCCATCTTGAAAATGGTACCTACATTATCAATTCTACTTTTTATGGAAATTGAATCTCTTTCTGTAAGTTTGGGAGGGTGGTATGGTATGCCCAGTGGCGGATCTAGCATGAAGCAAACGACGCATTGTGCGTCGGGCCCCCAGAGCTGAGGGGCCCCCACACAACCAGATTCTAAAGGGACCGATAAAAAAAAAATTTAAAAAAAAACTCGTAGATATAAAAAAAATACGAAAATTAAATTTTGAAAGAGACGGCAACGTTGTATACCAGGATGCCTATTCTTGAAACCGGGGAACAGCGTTCTCACGAGAAAGAACGATTGCTCTGTCTTTGTCAGTGTTATGGAAATAGGAATATGGGCAACTAAGACAGAACGCTATCTCCTGTTTCGACAATAAAGGCCCTGTAGGGAATCCAGGGCTGGAATCATGACAAGTAGAATTCCACTTTCATGACGTCATCCGCGACACATTTATCGCGTACAGTACAGGCGATGATGACAATTGTTAGGCTACCTGACGTCATAAAAAAGAAATTCTAGTAGAATGTCGTATTCCCAGCCCTGATGCACTCGACGCGATAATGCGGCAACCGCGGACGCGTCGACTTTAGGCGGCTTTTTTAGCTATTAGGCAATTTTTCGCGAGGATAATCAAGGATAATCTGATTATGCTGGGTTATGTGATGTGTCAATTGTATCATACTCCCCTAACTTCCTCTACATCAAATTCTGGGCCTACGAGTGACGTCACTACTATCAGCCGCTTGTAGTGATGACGTCACCCGCATACCTCGATGGAATGCTTGCGATTCAGGCTGTGCTAGTGATAAATTTTTCGTCGATTTTAAATGCAGAAAAGGTGATTTTCGGTATGTTCTCTCAGAAGAAATTAGGTGTTCTTGATCCTCGAGTATCCCAGAATTTGATGGTGGTGGAGGAAAATAATTGCAAAAAAAAAATTCACGGCCATCAGTGGGATACGAGACGAGGTCATCAGCGTCAGCCAGCACCTTATCCACTACGTGAATGCAACGCAACCATCCCTGCCAGTTCTTTCGATTCCCCATCCCAACGCAAAGTGCCAGAGAAAATTTTCAAATCCAAACCCTATTCAAATAAAGTTACGCAACAAAACAGCTACAAGTACTACTGTGAATGGAGCATTATTAACTTCTCAGGGTCGGTTTCTCAATAGCGAGTTACCTCCGGGTTGGTTTTAACTTCTGGGTAAACGTATCCAGTTGCAATGTTTACCCTGGAGTTACGCTCAACCCGGGGGTGACTTGCTATTGAGAAACCGGCCCTGAAGCTAGTATAAATTTTATTTTTTATTTATACCTTGTTGTTATTTTACTAGTACATATTTTCCATTTTCCTACTTCAATATGCGCAATTTTTCGTTAATACCGTATACGGAAGAATGCCTCTAACGGCTCTAAATTCCTTTTTTTGGAATGGAATGGAAACAACAGGATACTATAATTTGTACAAATGTACTATAATTTTGTAGCGTTCTATACTATAATAATTGATCCGCAATTGGCAACAATGTAGGGGAGTATGACACATATGACACATCATATAATCCAGCAAAAGATTTTGCTTGGTTATCCTCGTAAAAAATTGCCTATTGTCTTCCAGACTCAGATAATTTATGGCACTTGTCGGTGGAGTACGGACAGTATCAGTGCAGTGCGGTACTACTATGATGTATTTCTTTTTGTTTAAATAAAAAGTTCCTAAATTTTTAGAATTTTTTTTCTCGTTTAACTTGTTTTCTGTCTCATACTTATGTTCTTGATAAACTTATATAATATAATAATAACTTCCGCACAATCAGTTTACAGCCCAACACCACAAGAAAAATACCTAAAAAAGGCATGACAGGGCCCAAAAAAATTTTTTGCGTCGGACCCCAGAGGTCCTAGGTCCGCCACTGGGTATGCCACAGCACTTAGGCTGAATTAGGCCCATTGTGCGCCTCCACAAGAGGAGAGGTCATCCTTAGCTCGTCATCCAGCCTAACGATTCCACGTAGGCGATGACGTCGCCGATGCGGTGCCTCTGATCTCTTCTAGCGATGGGTACGATTGGCCTAATCTGGCTCTGCGTATTGGCGAAAGAGCAGTGCAGTCACAGAGAATGTGCTCTATCGTCTCGTCTTCTTGATTACAAGCCCTACAGAAGGATGTGGGACTGAGATGCAACCTAAACAAATGTTTGTTTAGCTGACAGTGGCCAGTCAAGATGCCTGTTATTAGGCGTAGCCTTTTCCTGGTCAACGACAGCTTCTGGCTCGCTGCAGCTTTATCTGGGTAGCTTAGCAGTTCCTTGGATAAGTTGCAGCCAATTGTATCGTTCCAGCGCTTTTTGAAAAGGGTATGGTAGCGTTTGTTTATCATATCTCTGGCCGCCGACATGGTCAGCCCTACGAAGGGCTCCGGTCCAGAAGGCTGTAGCGGCCCTTCTAGCTAGAACATACATCGGCAGCCCGATTGCCTTTGCTGTGATCATGTCCTTCGATCCAGCTGGACTACCACCAGAAATTGAATATGGGCACACTAATTGAAAATGTCTAGTTCCTCAATACCTAGCTACTATACCATTATAGTTATACAGGGTGAATTTTTTTCAATGTTCAGTATAGGCATCTCGGAAAGGTTTAAAGTGACAAAGAATTGCAGTTTTATAGACTCAACTCAAAACTAATTTTGGTTCTCCAAAGTTTGGCAGCTGTCAAAAACTATTTCAAAATAACTGATTTTTGACGCTTTCTTAAAACGCTCCTAATTCCGCAAATAAAATGTCAAAATAATAAAATATTATAATTTTTACTATGGTAACCATACTAAGAATGTATTAACAATGTCTTTATTCCTTTTTTCCATAGCTACGTTCTGGTGGTAAAAGGTGAATCAGATTAAAAATACAAAAAGGCCCATGAACACTTTATTTTTAAAATTAACCCTAATATAATATGATATATCATAGAATTAAATATGGTTTCCATTCGAAGAATCATTATATTTTATGTCAAAGTTTTTTTGAAATATTTATTGACAGCTGCCAAATTTTGGGAAACTTGAAATGGTTTTGAGTAGAGCTTACAAAACTGCAATTCTTTGTCAGTATCCTTACACTAAACATAGAAAAAAACTCACCCTGTGTCAAGGTATATGGTATACAGGGTGGGGACTTTAACTGGAACTACTTCGCTAGAGCCTTCGGATAAAATATGTCGACAAAACGCAAAAACACGTCGATCAAGATTTTTTTTTTGAAATTTTTCCATATTAATTTTTTTATACAGGGTGTTCCAAGAACAGCTGTACGGGTATCAACTTTATTTTTCCAAATGGTAGCCCCTGTATATTATGACATTTCTGGATTCTGCTGAAAATTCTAGATATATTTCATGTACAATGTTATATAGGTACCTATCTTCAACTGTTTCGGAAATATTGACAGTTGAAAATTGACTTTTTTGCAACTTTGACAGGCTGTAAAACCTAAACGGTTAATTTTAGAGGAAAACCAGTTTTACATTCCTGTCTTAGATGTTCATAAACTATCATTTGACACTAACTTTGAATTTAACTGGATATTGAATTTAACTGGAATTTTTAATCATGGATTAAATTCAAAGTTGGTGTCAAATGATAGCTTATGAAAATCTAAGATAGGAATGTGAAATCGGTTTTCCTCCGTTAAGGTTTTACAGCCTGTCAAAGTTGCAAAAAAGTCCATTTTCAACTGTCAATATTTCCGAAACAGTTGAAGATAGGTATATGACATTGTGAATGAAATATGTCTAGAATTTTCTACAGAATCCAGAAATGTCATAATATACAGGTGCTACTATTTGGAAAAATAAAGTTGACAACCGTACAGCTGTTCTTGGAACACCCTGTATAAAAAAATTAATGTGAAAAAAACTCAAGCAAAAAATCTTGATCGACGTGTTTTTGCGTTTTGTCCACATATTTTATTCGAAGGCTCTAGCGAATTAGTTCCAGTTAAAGTCCCCACCCTGTATATGGTAGGGTGGATTATGCATTGGAATTTCCTTTTTTTTTTTTAAATTCTTACTTCAATTTCCATAGTTTTTTCAGTGTCAAGCAGGGTTCGATTTTTGAGCATGGCGAATTTATTTTGTCTAGGATTGTATGCTACCTCAATCTCTTTAGTGATCCTTTCAGGTAGGTAATCAAAGTTTTCATTATCAAAATTTCTGCTTTTATTTTATTTAATCTGAGTTAACACCATCTTGAAATATCATCAAAAATTCTACATCGTATCGATGTTGTGGTTTTGAAAGTACAGGGTCCAAAAACCTATCTGTGTGTACCAGATCCAAAATTTCACTTATTCTGCTCAGCTTTTTTTTAAAACCTTACATTTATGGCAGGTACTTACTGCGCAGGATTTTTATGGATTTTTTTAAATTTTTATTTGTTTTTTGTTAGTTTAGGGTTCATGAGGATGTGAATTTCGAGAGGTTTATATTTTCACCTTATACCTAGCAGTTACCTAATCTGCTCCAAGTCCTATGCGTTTTTCAATTAAATAATCATCTGCTTTTTGGATTCCTGTGCTGTGATCAAAAAGCGAGTTCATTTCAAATTTTACTTTATTTTTCCTTTTATTACAAAATGGGAATATAAAAATCTAGCATTCTGAGTGTTGAATACAATTTCCATTGCTGCCTCTTACATAGCCATGTCTACAAAAACATCCCTGCTTACAAACCAAAATGCATGCTTGCGGCACACCTGAACAATTTTCTTCACAAGCTGAACCACAACTGTTGTATTCTTCAAAAGGTTGTGAGCAACCTAAAAACAATTTCCTTTTATATTGTTTTTTGCAAAACTAGTCTTACCTCTTGATGTAGCCGCAGAATGGACCTCAAAAATCATCAAGCACACAAAAACTAATGCAAAAATAGCTTTGATTGAATACATAATTGTTTAAATCAGTTCGACGAGTGTTGCAAGACTAGCTGAAATTAGTCAAATAAATAGTTAACAACAATGCGAATGGGTTTTCCCCATTTTCGCCTAAAAAAACCGATTTAATTTAGCATTTGGGTGTGTTCCAATCTTACCGAAAAAACATTCAATGGTCTAATTCTTGTGCAAATTTCAACGCAAAGCATAGTAATTTGAATAGCTGACTGACTGCAAGGCTGGAACAAACCCATTGTTTACAAATTAGTGGGTAAATATTTGAGATATGATAAATAATTATGATATTGAAGTTTGAATTTAATTGGTTTTTATATGGAATTTCTTATAAGAGTTCCCAAGGTTATAAAAAAAAAACACTAATAATATTATATTGTTTAATTTTAGTTTCAACGTTTCAATAACAAGTAGCCTGGGTTCTCCGGCAACAAATGCGTCAATTGCTAGGAGCAACAACGGATATAGGAAAGGGAAATATCACATTGCGACTAGCAATGTCATATGTTCCATAAGTTTAATTGAAAAACTTGAAAGGTTCTAATGAGATACCTGCACCAGAAATAAATTATTTGTCCAAAGAAAAGAATTTAATTATTAAATGAGATTTATTTTATGCATTAGTAAAATAAGCGAGTAAAAACGAATTGAGTAAAATTGAACATGCTCATACTATAATCATTAACAGTGCGTCGGCTGTGTTCGACTGACGTCGGGTTCGGGACTCATTGGAAATGTTGCGGCAAAGTTTACTGGTTTCGGTGGCTAAAGCATTGGAAAATAGCCACGTATACTTCACGTTTAGGCTGATACATAACTCTAGGCTTCACCCTTCCCACTTCCCAAACATGTCTTACAAAGCGGAAATTCGACAAAATATTTGAATAATTGGCAAATAACTATTTTGTGTGAAATCCATCAACTGACAAAAAGCCACATATACCATCTTTGGCTGAGTAAAAATCCACTTTCCGAGACCAGATAGCTCACACCCGTTATTGGTATACCAAAAAATAGCTAATTATTGTTGTTAAACTTTCGATGCTGTCGGTCAGGCAATTTTCAATCTCAGCCCCCAACCACCTCCGGTTTAGATGGCGGACGTCAAGTTTTTGACTTCGAGGCGTTCCACGTAAAGAGATGAATAACGTTTATTAGCTGCTCTTTTATCGGAAGAATATTTGAAATTATTGAAGCAACTTCTACAAAATGGCTCTAGAAGATCCGAATTCTCAATATCAGATATTACCTATTGTAGTATAGTCATGAGCCGGAAGAATTTGTAACAATTTGAAACACTAAAGAACAAGCACAAAAAAAAAGAAGTTGACGTTTTCCGGTTATTTTAGGTCTGGTACTTCCTCAGATTTTCTTCCCTTATAACCGAAACTATAAGATCAATACGCCATTAGAAACAGACAGAGCCCTACTAAGTTAGCAAACATGTTGAGTTAGGCCAAGCTTATTCAGCAAGTCACCTAATTTGAAAACATATCTATTGTTTATTAGATATTAGATATATTTTTTTTTTATTATGATTGGTAATATGTATTACTATCACCAGGATATAAAAAAAAAACGTTCATGAATAATACTTATGGATATTTATTTCAGTAACAATTATATAATATAAAAGATTTAACACATTACATGAACAAAAATTAACTTTGCAATTATCACAGACATCTGGAATGACACAATTTTTTTATAAAACAATGAGAATCAACATAAACTCTACTTGAAATGGTTGTCTCGACCATCATAATTTTTTTTAGATATTTGATCTTGAATATTAAAAATCCCTTGCCTCAACTGACCGAGAACATTGCGCATTTTGTCATCCATTATTAGTTTTCCTACAGAAGAACGGTGTTCTTGTAACAAATTATCAATGTATTTTTGGTCATTTGAATTAAATTCGTCTATAATATCCATTGTTAGTTTCCTAATCGGTGATTTTTCTGCTTTTAATAGCTTGAGTTGCTGCTGTAATGTCTGAAAATATAAATTTATTTCATAATGTATGTAAAATACCCCTTTACATCAAATAAATCAAGTGATTTGTCTCAGAACACAAGTTTTCCCATAGTATCCAGTCTGTGAAAAAAATATACCTTACTAGAACGCTAAATTTTTTTTATCACTCAATAAAACGTTGCTGTTACTACGTTACAGCTTCTCTCATAATGATGACAATACATGATGAATAAATAAATAAATAAATAAATAAATATTTAAATAAATAAATAAATAAATGAATGCGTCAAGCTGTCACACAGTTTCGCAAATATCCCAGTAATCGACTGGATATGCATTACCCAACCAATCAAATTCAGCACAGTTGTCAAGGTAGTCATCTATCCTGTGATATAAAAAAACTAGGTGGCTAGTATAACTTTGTGACATTTTTTTTCTCTAACACTGACATTTTGAAAAAGTGAGTCGTTAATCAGCTTGTTCCTGCATTGGATAGTATTAAAGAGAAATGCGTGATAATCATGGACAAGGCAGGGTTGGCATGATTTAAATCAAATGATTTAAATCATGATGAGTGATTTTTTTGAAAAAATCAATGATTTAAATCGATTTTTAGAAAGTGAAAATATCTTCGTTTATTTTGATATACCGGGTGACAATGAAACTACTACCCATAGCGGCATTTCTTAACGGTTCGAGATAGAAATATGCAACTCGGTTTGTTGATAGGCAGGCCTATTCTCTACGAATAGCAACTATATAGCAACCAGCAACCGGACGCAAGTTGCTTTTTTTTAATGGAAAACTCGCGTTTGACAGCAACTTGACAGCGATAATTACGCAATTCTCTGTGGTCGCAAGTTACAGAATAAGGCTGAGGGTTGAAAATTGTGAACAATTTTAATATAAAAACAATTGAATATCTTTTCCGATTTTACCGGAAATGGCAGTTTTTACGTAAAATACAAACAAATAGGAATTACGACATATTTTTGAGCTACTCTATTCCAAAACTATCAATTTTTGACATAGGGTATGTTAGACAAAAGTTATTTAAAATTGTTCAGAGAGTCCAAAAAAAACAATACAGTGTGTCTCATTTAAAATAACAAAGTCAATGCCATTTCCGGTGAAACCGGAAAAGACATTCAATTGTTTTTATATTGAAATTGTTCACAATTTTCAACCCTATCAACAAACCGAGTTGCATATTTCCGAGCATATTTCTATCTCAAGCCGTTAAGAAATGCTGCCGTGGGTAGTAGTTTCATTGTCACTCGGTATATAAATGGGATAACCCAAAGAGGATTTAGTAATTATTAGAAAATTTCTGACTGCAATACCATCCTCGGCAGGGGTAGAGAATATTTTTAACATATAATCTTTGCCATAATGATTTGAGAAATCGACTTGGCAATGGAAAGGCCGCAAAGCTGGTATTTTTAATGAAATCAATAAATATTAAAAAATCGGAATAATTTTTTTTTATATAATTAGTATTATTTTCATTTTTTACAAAATAATTATTTACTTTATTTTTATTTATTTTTTTTCTCTTTACTAGGTTTAAGGGGCAGGGTAATAGATAGGTATTATCAGAGCTGGGCAGGGCTTGAGGGCTTTGTGCTTGTAAAAGTGCTTGAAGCACTTTGAGGACTTGAAAGCCCTGTGCTTCAAGCACTTTTATATATTTGTAATTGGGGCTTGCAAAGTCAATTACATCAGAAAAGTGCTTGGTAATTTGTAATTGAAAAAAAAGTAATTCAAGCCCTTTCAATGAGCTTCAATTACTTTTAGAGGGCTTGAAGCACTTTGAAAGGGCTTCAAGCACTTTGAAAGGGCTTGAAGCACTTTGAAAGGGCTTGAAGCACTTTGAAAGGGCTTGAAGCACTTTGAAAGGGCTTAAAGCACTTTAAAAGGGCTTGAAGCACTTTAAAAGGGCTTCAAGCACTTTAAAAGAGCTTGAAGCACTTTGAAAGGAATTTGAATTGACCATCATTTAACCTATCCCCCACCAAAAAAGTTTGGATCGATGTGTTTTGTGGCTTAATTTTTTTTCTATTATTTGAACTAGGACCCTCCAATTTCTTTTCTTTATTATAATGGAGGTTTTGGGTTTGACCTTAGAAATGAATTTTAAAAAAATTAATGGGCTGATTGTTTAAATAAATAATTAATTTATATAAGGTACCCTATTTAACTTTATCACTTGAATTTTTTTCACTTTTCCTCATTAAACAATTTGAAAACCTCAAAATTGAATTACCATTACCATTACCACTCAAAAAATAAAAAAAAATACTACTGCAAATTTGTAAAATTTAAAGTTCATTTCTATTTCTACTATACTAATTCAACTGATGAGTGTATGCGCAGTAGTTTTTGCAACTTTGAGAATTATCACAAATTCAAAGTACTTTAGGCACATTTCAAGAGCTTCAAGCCCTTTTGAAGAGCTTCAAGCACTTTTGGAGAGCTTCAAAACCTTTTGAAGAGCTTCAGGCACTTTTGAAGAACTTCAAGCACTTTTGAAGAGCTTCAAGCACATTTAAAGAGCTTCAAGCACATTCAAATAGCTTCAAGCAGATTTAAAGAGCTTCAAGCACATTTAAAGAGCCTCAAGCACATTTAAAGAGCTTCAAGCACATTTAAAGAGCTTCAAAGCACTTTTTAAGGCACCCCAAGCACTTTTGAAAAGGGCTTGAAGCACAAGCCCTTTTCAAATCACTTTGAGGGCTTTGTGCTTGCCAAGCCCTAAGCACTTTGAGGGCTTTGTGCTTGTGAAGCACTTTTGAAAATAAAAAGGAATTTGTACTTGGAATTGAAAGCACTTTGAGAAAGGGCTTAGGGCTTAGTGCTTCAAGCCCTTTCAGTGAGAGCTTTGCCCAGCTCTGGGTATTATCTATTCACAATCCGATGTCCAAAGGTAAAGGTAAAATTTATCACCATACAGTGCAATTTGATAGGAAAAGGTGATAAATTTACCTTTACCTTTGGACTACGGATTGTGAATAGGATATAAGTACCTTACCTACACCTACCTATCGAATATTTTTATTTATGTTTTCAGAAATTACCGTTTATTTACTGTTTTGTTTGTTAAAACTATTTATTTATTAATAAACATTAATACATTTCTATTTTTATTATACTCCGTTGTATTAATATTTACTGCATCATTCATTGTTGAAACTAAATTACCAATAATTCATCAAAAATTAATAAAGCCATTTAATTCAAAAAAATCATAAAAATCCGATTTAAATCAAAAAAATCTGATTTTTTTGTTTTTTTTTTTTTTAAATCATGATTTTTGCCAACCCTGGGACAAGGCTTCATAACACTTGAAACAGGCTTATATAGAGACTTTAATCAGAGAGCATGTAGTAATTCTTTTCAAGATCAAGAAACTTCTGAATCTGAATTCACATTGTAATTGGGCGTTGCCATGAAATAAATAAATAATAATTTGGAAATGTTTCTGACGGAGCATATATCAGACTAGTTTTTTCATAATAATTCTTCTTAATGATGTGCCCAGTAGTAGACATCATTGCATGTGTGTGTCTTCCAGGGATCATTATGGGTACAAATTCAATTCCTCTATCTGCACTTTGAAAAACAAAATAAATAACGATTTTTAATAAGCCAAATCTTGCTCCCAATATCTTTTTGGATCGTCCCTTGTTATACAAAAATGGAATATCAAAAATCGGTGTAACGTACGCCTTAGAACTGAAGCCGCTCTCCACCAGTTATGACTTCCTTGCTATTGTGCATGGTGTATGGTATGCGCCAGAATAACTTGTGCATGGTGTATGGTATGCGCCAGAATAACTTAGCCTTCAGAGGTATACAGGGTGGAATTTTTAAATGGAATAAATTAAGTAGCAGAAAGCCTGTTTATTTTCTGGAAAAATTTAAAAAAACTGGTCCCTTTATTTTTAGTTTGACACATTATTTCGGCCTTTTTATGGAATTTACCCCTCTCTTAAGGGTACAAACAAACCCCAATTTTTTTTTTTTCAAATGTAAAGATATGTATTGTGATAGCTCCTTGGAATGGGCATAAAGAAAGGAAAATGACAATCATTTACTTTGGCATTTCGGTGATCTAGGAAGCGAGAAAGAAATTTAAACATATTTTTCCACACAATTTTTTTACAGTTAAAATTGTTGAATATCTTCAGCATTTCTTCTTGGTAGAACCCTAATGCGAAACAAGCCCCATTTGTAACGTTATGTAATTATTTCTGACGTTAACACACTATTTGATGCCTGATACTAGGATTCTCAACCCTAAAATAGTGCGTTAATGTCAAAAATAATTACATAACTAGATCACCGAAATGCAAAAGTAAATAATGGGTCATTTTCTTTTTTATATGCCCATTCTAACGAGCTATCACAATACATATCTTTACATTTGAAAAAAACAAGTTGGGGGTGGTTTCTATCCCTAAAAGAGGGGTAAATTCCATGAAAAGGCCGAAAAAATTTGCCAAACTAAAAATAAAGAGACCCGTTTTTTTTTATTTTTCCAGAAAATAAACAGGCTTTCTGATACTTATTTTATTCGATTTAAAAATTCCACCCTGTATACACTCAAGTGCATAGAAGTCGGCCCACTGCTGACTTTTGACTTCACCTATTTTTTTTTTAATAAAAAAAAAATAGTTGAAGTCAAATGTTAGCAGTGGGCCGATTTCTATGCAGTTCAGTATTTTTCAATGCTTAGTTACTAAGCATCAATATGAATTTCACCTATATTTCCTTGGATAATAATAAGCCACTTCCTGGTTTTGTAAAGTGAACACTCGATCTTTCGTTAGTTTTAAAAAGTTGCCTAAATTTTAGTCTTACCTTATTGTGTTCCTGATTTGATTTTAAAGCAACTTTCAGATTACTTGACACCTGTCGAAGGAAAAAGTTGGCATCATTCAAAATTTTAATATCATTATGCAATAAATTTATCTTATTTTCATAATCATTGACAGCTTTCTTGAAGTACTCATGTTCCTCCTGCAGTTTTACAATTTGCGCTTCCAGCTCTTGGGAATATTCAACTTTGTGTTGAATATTAGAAGAAGACTGGATCTGAAAATAAGAAATTATCAAAATCAACTCGAAAAAATGTCTTTTTCTACCTTTTCTTGAATGCAGAGATAATTTTCTTTTTCTGCAGCTTCTTCTAAGTCTTCCTTTAATTTATCTAATACCTCTTTAACTTCAATGTTATAACAATTATTTGTTTTTGTCAATTCTATGTCTAGCTTCTTGATTGTCTTCTTCAACTTTTCATTGTCGATTTTATAGGAATTAGAACTGTTTTGTAACACTTCAATTTCAATGTCCTTTGAAGTTAAGGTGAGTTTTAATTTGTTATTATAGTCAGCTAAGGAGTTGTACAGATCTTGAAGATGTTTTAATCGATTTTCTGCAACATTTCTACCTTTTATATGTTCTTTGACTTTTCGTAATAGGGTGCGATTGTTTCTGTCCATTCTGTGAAAAAAACCTGGTTAAAAGGATGTAAACCAAAAATGAAACAAATTACTTTTTACGTTTATGGTCCATTTCTCGTTCTTTTACCCGCAACTGTATTTCTAGTTCCTTAATTTTATTTTGTCCAACTTTATCATTTAAGTTTTCGTGTATTGTATTTATTTTGTTTTGAATTTTTTGAATTCTTTCATCTGAATATTTCAAACGTATATCAACTGTACTTTCGAATTCGTCAATATTTAATTTTTGAAATGAATTGTCAATGAATTTTGCTATATCTGTCGTTTTGGTAGTATTTGTTTGACTATTCAGAAGTTGGATTTTTTCATCATCTGTTATTCTCTTAGTATAAATCTGCCAATCATTTTCAAATTTTTGTAATTTATTTTTCAACTCAAAAATTAATTTGTCTTTATTTTTTATTTCATTACGATATTTTTCATTTTTTTCCTTCAATGATAATATTTTATAATCATTTTCTTTTTGAATTTTTTTTAAATCTCCCAACATCCTATCTTTCTGTTTAATTTTTTTCAAGTCACAAATTGTCCAATTATGATCCATAAATAATTCTTGTTTGACTTTTTGAAGCTGCAGAATTTGTGTATTTTTTTCAGTTAATTCTTTTTCTATTTTTTTGTAATTTTCTTTACATTTCTGTACCTGATCTTTAATAAGCTGAACAGAGTTTTCCACATCCATGTTCTCTTGATTTCTCATTTTTATTTCAATTTCTAAGTTGGTTAGCCTATTTTTTAGATACAAGTTTTCATTTAACTTTTCTTTTTCATTATTTTTTGAAAGTTCTAATTTTACTATTAGTTCTTTTTTGTTACACTCCAGCAGTTCTATATCAAATTCTTTTTGCTTCAACGTTATTTGTAATATTACATATTTTGACATTAAATTATAATTGTCTCGATTTAATTTATCAATTTCTTGATCTTTTCTTAATGCAGTTTCTTTAATTCGCGATATTTCTTCTTTTAAATCCTCAATTAAATTTGCATACAAATTAACATTGACATCAATGGGATTGTTCACAGGTCCATAATTGTTATTAGTTTCTATTAGAACATTATAATCCAAATGCATTTGTTCTAATTGTTTAATTAATTTCTGGTTTTCTTTCAGTGCCTTCAATTGTACATCCTCAATTTCAATTTTACATTTGTTTAAATTAATATTCGAACTTGAAACTTTACCTTCAAGTCGTGCTCTAAGTTCATTTAAATTATTTACTTCCTCTTTGAGTTTAACTTGATTATTTTTATATGCAATCATTTGTTCTTTATACCAATTTTTGAGTTTCTCGCTCTCCTCAAACTTTGTATTAAGGAAATTTAATTTTTCTGCTAGGTCCCTATTAGTTTTCAAATAGTTTTGTGTATCAATGTGTTGCTTGGGAATTATCAGTTCGAAGATTTGAAAAGAGTTAGTTTTTATGTCTAAATCTGTGGCTAATTCATTTAGATTCATTTTTAAATTTTTATTTCCTAAATCTATTTGGCTTTTTTCTTTTTGTATTTCCGCACTGAATTGTTGCGACTTCAAATAGATACTCTGATGAGAGTCTAGGAATCTCGTTTTCCAAGTCTATATTTTGTTTTTCTCCATAACTTTTTATCAGCAGCTCTATTTGATTATTAGCATTTTCAAGTTCCCTTCTAAATTAGGTACTATTAATTCTATGCAATATTCCAATTTTATAAGAATATTCCAATTCAACTTTCCTTTTTGAATTTTCCAAAACATTTAATTCACGACTTTGTCGAAATTTGCTTTCAAATTCATCGTTAACATTTATATCACTAGTGAAAGTGTCTGAATAAAGTTACAAGTTTGTACTGGCTCAACCCCAACAAATTGGATTGATCACACTGTAGACTATCTGAATGATGGGATGGGAACAGTTTGAATCTGCAAATCTGCATCCAACTTATCCATGGTCGATGTTTTGGAAATATACCTACCTACTCCTACTGCTCAAAAGGTAAAAATAAATTATTACAAAAATGTGAAAAGCTTATTAGGTTTCTATGAACCTTAAAGTTGAAGTAAGTATAAGGAGTGACCTACTTTGTTAAGATGATAATTCACAAATTTATTACACTCTTACACAATGCCATTATGGTTTTAATATATTAAATAAATACGACCAAATCAATTCAACTTTTATTTTATATAAATTTCTTGTTTAAAAAAATAACTAAATGTCACTGTCAAATAACCACACAAGTGGCTATAGGGAATTTCAAGCGTTTGACCGGTCGGTTTTGAAATCTCATTGTGGAATCATACCTTTCGTGACGACAGGGTCGGTATCGAGTTGCGTCTCGTTGTTGAGTCGTGTGTCGAGTCGTGATTTTAGAGTCTCCCTGCTGTACCTTTTTTTCCATCAAAACAGTACGCTGTTGAAATCGGAACAGCGAATGGAAATGACAGTAAAATCCAGTACTGGCAGTTCATAACGGAACATAACCAGTGATCTGGAGCGAATTCCATGGACCGATGTTGCGTCACGGGGGCAAAAATTATCAACCATTGGCAATTTTAGTGCAGCTTTTTGAATCTGATTTGGAAACTGGAACTGGAGTGTCATTTTTTGCTCCGAATGCAATCAGTTCTCCACGTGCTTTTAATGGTCGTGTGGCACTAGCGCAGTTTGGAAATTTCTTGTTTCGACAAATTGCAATTTCTATGACCAAATATAGGCTGTTCATTTGTACTTGCTACCTACTCGAAAAATCAGAAAGATCTGCTAGGAGCTGCTATTTATGAGCTTATGGGACAAGTGAACGCCAATCAGCTGCTGAGATCTGCTTGAAGCAAGAAAGGCAGTACCTACAAATGAACAGCCCTCTAATTTTTCATATTTAACTTTTCGAATATTATAATCCCACACTACACAGGATAGCCTATCCTCATAAGATGAGCCCTGTGTAGATCAAATCTCAAGCCCCCAACCACGCCCAAGTACCACTGATGACGTAACGCGTCTTTTTTCGCCTCGATGTAGGATGTTTGCAACACAGGCTATGATTCCGCTGGCTTTTGCTTTATGCATACTTGGTTTAGTACATTAATTAACATTCTAAAACGACCCTTTTTTAGATCTCGTTTGCATCTTCCTACTTGCCTATTATGTTAACCAAAATTGAATATTTTTCATCATACATGAGCCGATTAAACGCGATGGAATATTAATAACCTAGTTAAAAATGGTATTACCATTCACGTAAACGCGGTTTTGGTTATTTTTGATCATTCGGTAGTGACGTCATCATTTGGCCCTTTGTGACGTATTGAATCAGCTGTTTTTATCTTTGGTTCAACCATTTTTAACCTACCTCTGGAGCTAGGTTATTATGTTCTGTCCTTGTCTGAAAAAGTAAATAAAGGAGAAATACCCGAAATGGCGGATTTTGACGGGTTTTTCGTTGTTCTGTTGTGTTTTGTATGTTGTGTTTTTTTGTGCAACTCCAAAAAATGAACTTCGAACTGATCGAAAAATCAATCTTTGAAGATTTGATCTAGGTTAACACAAAACTAAACACTAAAACTTCACCAAATAATAAACATAATAATAATGTACTGTACTTTAGGTGAAAATTTAACAAAAAACAATCACAAGACAGAACAGAACGGAATAAACAAAAAAATTGGGGTTAACGGAATAACCATAGCATAAACACGAGCTCTCAGGTTAATCCAAAATGGTCGACAATCGCTGTTTCAAAGATAACCAAGGGACTGACCAAAGATATAACCGCGGTTAACAATATTCCATCGCGTTTAATCGGCTATGTATATTCTAAACTATTACCGCTGGCGCAAACAGCTAACGACACCGTTGATGACGACGACCGGTGCAATACCATATGATCTTGATTCAAAAAATCCAGACTAATCCTGTAGTAGTGTGTAATATCCTTGACTAAAACCTGCCACTTGTCTCTAATTTCTAGACCATTTTTGGCGAGGATAATCAAGCGTAAAGCCTAGTACCACAGCTAGTACTCATAACAGCGAAATTCGCTCTTTTTAGACATTGCTTCGACAATTTGACGTTTTATGCGTGAATCAAACGTCAAATTGTCGAAGCAATGTCACAAAAAGCGAATTTCGCGGTTATGAGTACTAGGCTTCAAGCTTAGTACTCATAATCGTGAATTGCGGATTTTCTTCTATTGGTCGATTATATTTAAATTTGACGAGTTTAAATATATTTGACCAATAGAAAAAATCCGCAATTCGCGATTATGAGTACTAGGCTTTAATCTGATATTATGCTGGGTTATGTGATATGTCAATTCGCCGGTCTCATGACATAAGGCCGAGATAGGGCCAAAATGAGTCAAGTTCATATAGCTATGTTGCATTCAGTGTATACTTGTTTTTAGCCAAGGCCCAAGTGTCTTATCTTGAAATTAGTTCAATTCGTTAAAAAAGTGAGAAAACATATTGCCCTATCTTGAAATACGATCAGTTTTATTACAGCATAAAGGCGAATCTTGAGACACAAACGCAAATTACTATTTTGAAATGTGCAATTTGACAAAAAACTTAAATGGTTTGTTGTTCATAATTCCAAAAAAAATTACCAAAAATCGGTATACTTCTTTGAATTCTGTTGGCGTGAAGTTATTAGTTTTCTTTTAATTGCTCTCCTGAAAACTTGTGAGAAACGAGATAGGGCCTTATGTCATGAGACCGACGAATTGAGTCATACTCCCTCCCCCACCAAATTCTTGGCCTGCGAGTGACGCCACAATCAGCACCTCGCAGTGATGACGTCACCCGCAGACCTCGATGGAATGCTTGCTATTCAGGCTGTGCTAGTAACTTAATTTTTTCGGTTGGTGGGGGGTTAGAAGAGTATGACATAATTGACACATCAGATAATCCCGCAAAAGATTATGCTTGGCACAGCCTCCTATAGTTAACAAGCCATGAAGTTGGAAATGACGGCAACGTCGCGTATGGTGCTATTTTGTTATTGGGTTATGTGTTTCTGTGTATTGCTTTCATTGTGTATTGTTGCAATTTAGCATTTTTATGGGCATTATTGACGAAAAAGTGGATAGAAACACACCAATATATTGCCCATATTTAGTTGATACCTGTTCCTTTGTGCTTTGATTGCAAATTTTTAGCAAATGGGTACAGGAGCAAAAATGAAGGTAAGGTAAGGTAAAACAATAAAAACAATATTAATATTTGTCTGCAAGAGCATAGGTCTTGATATATTACCTACGATATTTAAACTTGTTCCAGATGCCATGAAACTACTGTGTTCCTGGGTGCAAATCGAACTATTAGGAGTTCCTTAAAAAATGAAGAAATGCAAACATTTTTATTTCCAAAAAAATTCTGAAGTGCAAAAAATGTGGATGAAAGCAATACACCAAGATAATTATACCCGAGATTATACAGTAACGAAAAATTCTGTGGTGTATTGTAAACATTTTGAAGAAACCGAAATAATTAGATTTGAAACAAACAAGGATAGAGCCATAGTTCAAGAGTTCAAACTAAAACGTCCAACTTTTAAAAGTAGGTACCTCTTATTTTCGAAAATCAGCTCAAGTATTTGAATGGACTTGCCTTCCAAAAAAATCCCGAAGAAAGAAAAAGTTAGATTTTCAAAAGACATACTGAAACATAGGCTTATAACACTTTTGACTCTAGAAATCTATTCATTTAAATCAATTATTTACTGTTCTTATTTACACAAATAGTTAAATTATTCATTGAATTACTGTTTTTGGCCCTTTAGTACAATAAATTATGCATTTTTTGTGATTCATATTAATACAATAAAAAATATATATTTATACAAACAAACACCACCAGCACCACTTGGCGGTAAGATTGCGGTGTTGCCTTTTTAACTTCATGGCTTGTTAAATGTAGGGGGCTGTGTGCTTGGTTATCCTCACAAAAAATTGACTTCTTATTAGTCTGCTTTTAGCAATCATCACTACAACGGACACCCTGTATAGGAAACCGGAACGATAGATGGTATCAGAATCATCTAGGAGACCAAATTATGCCTGAAAAATAGACTAGGCACGACTTGAAAAATTAATAATGAAAGAGGACTCTGGGTACGCACACAAAGAAAGCAGGTTAATCAGTGCCTATTTCCGGCGCCGAAAATCAGCACCTACAAGTCATCTCACTAGTACACAATGAACGCCGGTTTTCGGCCAGTTTAAACGCAATTTCTATACTACAAAGATGTCTAGTTCATTTTCCGATGAAGACTTTTTATTGACAGAAAATACATTCCTAAGGATGATGCAACGCACTGAGCAAGGTATACATCCAGTAAATCGTGAACGAAAACTTTATGGTGAATATCGCCATTCAGTCCTTCTGCACTATATTCCTGTTGCTGTGGGACTTAAGTTGTTTGTCCCACAATGCATTTCTTTGAAAAATCGCAGAAATCAGTAATTCGACATCCATTATCGATGCAAGTCCAGCTCGGACTAGCGACCAAGAACTAAAAACTCATTCCGAAAAAAAGTCGGCGCCGATCTGCGCCGTCAACAAGCGCTGACCGGCTTTTTCTGTGTGCAGGTGCATTTAAACGTGGATTTATTTATTGGTTTTATTATATAATTTATTATTATAAGAGCTTGTTACCAGCAAGCAAGCAACCTGCTTTTTTTGTGTGCATACCCTTATATACTATAGTCTCGTCCAGAGATAGAAATTAGTATTAATGACATTCACTGAAACTCACAAGAAATTTTCTTTAAAAGACACATCACCACAATATTAATTACATATCTTTAATTTTCATGAAAATTACATTTCTCTAATGTAATAAAAAAAAATATCAGATTTTTCACATTATATTTTGAAATAACGCTATATAGTACAAAAGGAAGAAAAAGCCGATTCAGTCATCGAACCGCTTTTTTACACTATTAAAGCCTTTTAAATATTATCACAATACATTTTAGTTTCCAGAGTATTTACCATTATAGTATTTCTGATGGAATATAATTGAAGCTACAATATTATTTTTGTTCGTTTGCCATAAGAGATTCGTAATTTTTACATTCTAGACTTAGTTGCTTCACTGCAATAGCACAAGCTCGTTGGAGTTCAAGAAGATTCTGGAAAGAAAAGACAGAGGTATTTTGGTATTTCAAATCAAATTACAAAAATAACCTGTAGGGATCCAGCCACATGATCTCTTTTCCACTTTTCTTCCAAAACTTTGTTTTCTATTTTTAATCTATTTGATCTAACTCCATCAACAATTTTCTGAAATTGTTCTAAAAATTCTTCTTTTCCACTCAAAGATTGCATAGCTCTAGGACAAAAGTATATGGTTAAAATAAAAACAACTGACAATAGCTGTAGGACATATAAACGGTGACTTATAAGTCAATTCTGTGCACATTTGTGAGCAAATCTATAATATTCCACAAGCCTATAGACACTGCAAAACGCATCGATTCCCGAACATCCGATCAGAAATATTAACCATTCTATAAGATTTTCTGTCAGCTACAGGAAGTGCAGAATTGCAAATTATTTATAGGCAGTTATAGGCTTATAGAAAATTACAGATTTCAGATTTGCTTACAGATGTGCACAGAATAGACCCATCTATTTTACCAGACAAAGAGGTATTAATACGGAAACTTTATTAGATAGAAAAAGACGCAGAACGCTTATTGCGCAAGACGAGGCAAAATGTACCAAATTATGTTAGAATTACGTATAGCAATCCGTTCTTATTATTTGCACGGGATAAAAAAGGTAGGAGGAAAATCGCGTGACATGCAACGTATTTGTCAATCAAAAACACAAACAATGGAAAATCGATCACTTGTCAAGCTACGTCAAGTTGAATATCAAGCATAATTTTATCCTTGTCAGACCACGGGCAATGAACAAGGACAAGAAGATGTCCAGCGTGTAAAAGGATTACTTCACACCTGTACTAGTTAGCCAATAAAAATGCATTGCCTCGTGTTGCGCGCGCATACAGGTAAAAATAGATAGGTCTAGTGACCTGAGTAACATTTGGTTTTTGAAAAAATCATAACAAAATTTTTAAAAATGTTTTTTTTTTTTTAATTACAAAAATATACAAATCAGTATTTTATCTTTCAAACAAGTCATTATCCAAATGATGACTCTTTTGCACGCCTCCAATAGTCAAATTTTGGTTAACCTGCCAATAATGGTCTCCCAATTCTTTAACTGACTCGTGCTGACAGGGGGGCCCATTATAGTATGTACCAAGTAGTGTAAACTCTGGTGATCTTCAGGAGCATGAAATAAGTGTTCCAGAAAAAGAATGTACATCATCGACGCTGCTACTCTATTTGCAATTTGAGTCTTTTCTTACAAGTAAGTAAGAACAAATATGAATCATTACAGAAGACAGTGGTTACTTCTGAGTATTTTACAACCATGATATTAGTGCCCAAACTAAACCCTTGGTCTTCCACAGGGATGCGGAACCTGGACCACCTACAGGCAACACCTGTAGTGCTTGGAATAGTTCTGCCAGTAATTAAGAAAAATAAACTGGCAGGATCGTCAGCATGAGAGACTCGAATCCTATCAAGCAAATTTCGTATTGCTAACTGGAGAATGGCCAATGCAAACAATGTAAACTTAAACAATACAATGATTTGCTCATAGCAAACATGAAAGCATGTCAGGTCGATGTGGGTGACTTGACAACAAAGTATTCATCAAGACTCGCAGTATTTCAAAAAAGCGGAAAGATGAGAAGGATAAACAGAATCGTAGGAAAGAACGTCTGATAAAAGCTGGTCTACGATAGTGACCACTCACTGGGTGTGCAATCACTACCGAAGGAATTTGTTAGAACCCAAAAAGTAACGTGATAATTGAAAATTGAAAGCTTCTAAAATATAAAATAGATTTTTTGCTTCAATCGCTTTTAACAAGAATTTTTAGACAAACATTTAGCCAATTTAGTGATGGCAAATTACTGGTAATTCATAATTTGGTAAGAACATTAGTAAATTACGGTAATTTGCGGTAATTTACGGTAATTTTCAAAATACATACATACAGCAAAGCAAAAGTGGAAGTGACAGAATCTACATATTATATGGATATTTAATTTTTGAGAATTTATAATAATTATATTATTCTTGAATACTTGTTAAAGCAAAATTAATAATTTAATTTTTTTTTAAATAAAATAATAATTTACTTTTTTCCCGAGATCTAAAAATTAAGTTCAATTAATTAGATTTAGTTTATTCAAGTTTAATGCATTAATATCCATATAAAGTTCATATAGCTTTGAAAAAATTACTATAGGTCTGTTCTCGGGTCTGTTCCGACATGTCAAAAACCGTCCCATGAACGATTGGAAACTATTCTGTATACGCATTTCGGATTCTACACACAAATTTTTGGCTTTGCGCAGAATCGTGCCTGTACATTGCACTATTGCACGGTTTCATGCTGTGTTGGAACAAAGCTTGCCTCCATCCCAGCCTGCTTGTTCCAAGTCGGTGGACGTTTCAGATTCTGCACAGCATATTATGGCATAATATTCCTGAGAATATTACATGGAAACTTACTGATAAAATTACTGTAAGTTACCAGTTTAAAATTCTCGTTTTGGTAATATTACCCCAAGGGTGAGGAGGTAATATTACCGAAACTTCTCTCGGTAATATTCTCCTTTGCCATCACTACCTAATATAGGGCAGAATAACTGGATAAATACGTTATTAATTGTACAGTTTTGGTTTAAGTGGGATGAAAAAGGCATGATCGACAGAATTTAATTTTTTTGTGCCCAATGATCAAAAGTGCGATTTTGACTTTTGAGTAGAAATGTCAAGATTTCAGAAACAGTACTTACTCAGGATAATTGTCTGCTATAGAATTAAGTAACGATAATTCTTTCTGCATATAGACACGTTTATCTTCCAATGTATTATATAATGTAAAATATTGTTTGGTCTCTTTGTGCTTAGCAGCCACTAGAACAAAATCAGAAAAGTCCCACAAATATTTACAAAACCTTGCTAATTACCTTGATTATACAGTTCCAAAAACCTTCTTTGATACTGGGCCATTTCAGCTCTATTAGGAACATCATCCAGTTGCCTTTGCAGCTTCCCCACTATTTGATTTCTCTTAGCTAATTTTAATTTAACTAACCTGACTTTTTCAGTCAATACTTCTATATTTTTGAGCTCCTCTGGTGTTAATTCTCTTGGTGATTGTAGTTCCTTCATTTCGCTAAAAAATACTATCATTATTTGAGGTTGATAAACACTTTTCCAATTTCACTTCCAAGCATCCATTTCAAAATTAAGTGTATTGTTCCTGCTTGTGAACCTATTTTGTATTCCATACTGTCTGACGAATTATTATTCGAATGCACCATCTCTTTGCAACAAGTTTGTGATTATTTTGAATCTTAAGTTTGTTTTTGAAATAGACCTTTATGTGATACAATAACTATGCAGTTGAAAATTTGTAAACTTTATAATTTGTACATTTTTATCAGGATACTATTTTTGCCTGATCCGGCTACGTCATAAAAAATTGGAATAAAAATAAAAAAATAAATAAACACAACCATTCCCAAACACATTTGGCTTGTCTCTAATACAATTTCCAGCAATAGCTATAAAAGGTAGTTATGCTCAATTAATTCGATCTTGATTACTTACCCTATTTCTTTTTGAAGCTTTGCCATTTCTTTTCTACAGCTTTCCCTGAAACTAGCCTCCTTCCTTTTGAGGTTGTCATTTAATAAAACTAATTCCTCTATTTCTTTAATATCACTAGAAACAAAAATAAAATTCAATCCTATCCCATCATTTGGAACTTGTAAAATCCCAACCTTGGATTATTCCTTTCTTCCTCAGCAAATTCCTTCAAAGCTCTATTGGCTTCATTTTGCTTCATCCGGGTCTCAGATAATAATCTATTTCCTTTTTCAATTTCTTCATTCATATTAAGTTTGACCTCTGACAATCTTGAAATGATATTGTCTGAAAGTATTTTTTGCTTTTCAAGTAGTGTCTGCTCTTGGATTTCTTTTGATCGAATACCGCCATCCTAATTAGAATTGCCAATCAATTAAATTATTTTTATAGAAAACATTTTAAAGTAAATTGAAGCTTTTGCAAAATTGCGTTTTATGAAGGCCACTAGGTGGTTTGAAAGCAACCAGAGTCCTTATTTCCAAAATTTGAAAATAACTAACTAATTTTTTTATGTTAAAATTGAAATTCAAGATTTTGTGGGTTCCAAACAATTTCGAGGAAATTGTGAGTAATTTTTAGCTTGAAATGCCTACGATACATCTAGGCATGCTTTTGAATAGCAAAAACAGCATCAAACTTCTAAAAGTTGCTTTTTGCGGTTAATTTATATAGAGTTTTTATGCCTAGACTCATGATCTGCTTCATGTCCAATAGGTAAAATATCATTTATCAATGAGATTTAGCAATTTTTTCATATTTTTTAAAAAATCTAGAACCTGAATAATTGAGTAGGTATGTGTATCAACACTATTTTGGGGACATCGGAGTCGTCGTAATTCATTATAAAAAATATATGTTCCTACTTTAAAGGCAGAATTTCTAACGCCCAAATACACGGTGAATATCTCGGAATCTCCACCAATTTGAAATGAACAAAACCGACAAGAAATTAGGTCATGTTAGAGAGTGTGTTAAACGAATAACAAACTCGTCATTTTCACTCTTCAGGGGTTAGGCAAGGAAAGTATTATTTTTTTTTTTAATATCTTATTAATAAAATATGAATTTTTAAGGCCACTTAAGAGCAAGTGTATTTGTTTTGGTTCACTCAGCTGGTTGAAAATAATAAAGCAATGAAATTCGAATATGCTGAAAATCCCCATTATTTTACCTTTAGTTCAGAATGCAGAGTTTTGTAATGGTCAATAAGTGTCTCTTTTTCTTCCTCAGTTAATGTCTCATCTTGCAGTATGTCCTAAAAATAAATAATATCGATTACTTTGTCATAATCAGAAGCTACATGGAAAAAAGTTGAGACAAGAAAAACAGGTATAGGAAGGAAATAGGGCAAAGGATATCAGTTACAAAAGCTTTAGAAAATAAATCGATGAGATAAACATTTTATTTAATTGATACATTAGTGAAAGCAGGAAAAGAAGTAGCACAGGCAAAAATAAAGATGGGGCGCTCGCGCTATACCTATCTCTCTGGAAACAAAAGACTTAAGAAACTAAAAAGAGAATATAAAGAAGTAAAAATTGATAAAACAGTTGAAAGAATAAAAATATAGGCTTTTCTTTGTCTGTCTAGGAGTCTAGGGTGTAGGTATGATTGAAGTTTTGAAATAAAAGGTCCTCCAGCTGAATTTAATAACGAAAAGAGTTGATTCAATTAATCCTAGGTGATAGGTGCAAATATTACAGATAGGATTTAGAGAGTGTCTCGCCTTTAGGGTTTCAAGGTAAGCAAGGTACAAGCCCTCAAACCACGTCTTTAGCCTTCTCAATTTGGGCAATCGTCTTTGTCTTTCACAAAAAGGTATTGGAGTGACATGACTCTCCACTGCCAACAACTCAGAATTGCACATGTCTTTATCATCTTTCTTTTACAGTTTGTTCACCTAGACCCTAACACTGATAAATGACCACGCCCCCTTTCTTATTACCACTAATCCCGAACGTGCGCCTTTTGGCGTGCCATTGCTTTTCTTTTTAGGGACGGCCTAACTCTGGTACATTGCCAGAGATGTGTTCAATTGTTTTCTAAAAACTGCACCACTAATTATATCTATACCTACAGAAATATGATTAAAACCGCAGCTTGGGAATACAAACTTAATAGTATCAAAAACGGCGGCGTGATAGAACGGAAATTATACAAATATCACAAGAATATTTATACAAACATGTATAACAAAATGCAAAAAACCATCACAGGAGATACTAAAATAATTGAATAAATTAAACTCACATTGGTAACCAGAAATTAGTAGGTAGGTATATGTAAAATGAAAAGGGCACTCAAACAAATTAAATATAACAAATCGCGAGGAAAAGAGGAAATAAGTGTGGAAATGTTAAAGAATGGAGGTTAAACTGAGGATATAACCACAACATATTATTTGAAAAAGGACACAGAAAGGATCTTGAGAATTAGAGACACATAACTCTACTCAATGTAATGTACAAACTATCAACAAAAATTTTAACAAGCAGAAACATGGTGTTTGCAGAACAGAATAAACAACTCAGTAGTTCAGGGATACGAAATTAGTAATTCATTATTGTAATTCATGACATATACATGGTGGTACTGCAATCTATGGTAGAAGCACAGATTACCTAATACAGATGCGAAAGTACGTATACTTGTCGTCGACGATATTCTGTGACGAAGCCGGGCCGCCAGCTCTCCGACGCATAGATAAAGATCGCCCGCGTCAGGACAATTAACGTGGCCAAGTGCGAGAGCATGTTCCAGCCTGTGTGTTTACATATTTTTGCGGGTAGAAAAAAATATTTTTTTGCTGTTTGTGAACCAATTAAAGAAATAATATTATATTATTGAGCTTCCGCATTTATATAATAAACATGTTCAAAATACATTGATGTGGCATTGGTGCGGCCAGCCTATGTCTATCAAATTAATCTTGAACCACGAATTCGCAGCTCTTTCGCATCTGTATGTAAGTAATCTGTGGTAGAAGATAGAACAGGAACTACATGTAGACCTCTCCATGATACAGCAAAATTTGAAAGAGAAGACAGATGCAGAGGTCAGATGACTTAAAGAAACACACTTGACACAGATGAACACAGACCGCCAAAAATTGAGAAGCATGGAGGAATGAATGGGAGGCCTTGAGGCCTATGTCCAAAGATAGACATTTGGGGCTGATTAGATAGATAAGATACTTGATAAACTACTTACCTCTTTTGTGGCAGTTAAATTGGTTAAATGTTGGTCAACATATTTCTGCAGAAAAAAAAAACAAAAAACCACAATTAACAAAAAAAATTAATAAGCTCACACAAATCATGCTGTAGTATGTTTGTCAGACCTGCTGAAAACTTGAAAATAAAATGGACTTGTACCTGTTTATCATCTCTGATGTTGGCAGGCTGTGCCTTTTGGCTACGTTGCTCTTCACTAGATGAAACAGATGACTGTTTCGACTTTCCACTATCTCGGAAACCATATTCCAATAAAGTTATCCTCAATCTTGAGAGTACATCAGGAGGTGGGGCATTTTTCCTTTTATAATACCTTCGTGGTCTGAAATTTATTTTGTTTGCAAAGTCCATTGTTAAAATAAATGAAAATGCATACCTGTACACTTCTTCAACAGTTTTAAGATTATCATCAATAATTTTTCCTGTTTCATTATTTTTACTTCTACAAGGAAATTCTTTTTCATATTGGTTTATGGCATATGAACGAACAAAGGCAAATTTTTCTTGTCTGGCCTCCATGGAAACTTTGACAAGCCACTACAATATATATATATTTTTTCTTCAGAAATTCAATAAAGAAACCTTTATGTGTCAGCTTACTTGTATCAGAGGAAAAATATGAATAAAATCCAGACCTTGAATCTGATGTGGTTCAATTCTATGGGGACATTTTATTTTTGGAAGAACTGCAACTATTTTTTCAGTCAATGCACTGGAAGCATAATATCATTTTAATTTTTGCAAGGTTATGGAGTTAGGTGGTTTGAATAAACCTGTAGCTTTCAATCATGGTATTTACCTATATTATTCTCTTGAATATTCTATTATTGTTATTAATATTTCCAGCTATAAATATGTTGTCTATCATTATTTCAAATTTAAATTCAAATTTAATTTCTGTTTTCGCAGGTATTTTGAAACAATGGATTTTCGAGGGTACTTAAAAGTGTTTTTTTTTCTGCAATTTTCTGGGCATTTATTGAAATTCAATGAATACTCAGAAAATAGCAACAAAACGTTGAAAATACAGTTGTGTTCTTACATTTTTTGTCCAATAGTGGAGTTCTCCTGAAACAGCAAATCCACATCAACATCCACATTCAACGATTCTACACACCAAGTCATACCACCAACGACTTTATCAAAAGGGCTCAGCCCCTTGATTCTAGCTCTAAAATAGCCAGCTGCAACTAATATATCAATAATCTGTTGAAGTTTGGTGGCTTGTTCTTCATCTTCTCGTACTTCAACCTGAATAGAGGCCATACATTAATAAATTTTCAAATAACAACAAATTTAGGGGCATACCTTAATTTCATGACCATCACCTTCTTGGCGCTTTGGGGCCAAAGAGGCTTTTTGGAATTTTTGCAAGAGATCCTGATTCACTTTTGCCATTTCAATTTGATGGGAATTGTGTCTAGGAAGGTTTAAATTTGTTAATCATATCCTTTATCGTAAAGATATCCTCCCAAATATTAAATTATTTGATTTGCTAATTTGCATGACAACTACTGAAAGTGAGGTTAGGATTGTTTTTCTTTTTTTTTTTAGTTCACTTTAGGCGTTTTCAACAGGGTTGCGTTTAGAAATAGCACTCTGGGTGTGAGAGTGACCCTAGAGTAACTCTAAACCGTTCATAAATTACCAGGTGCTTACTTGGAGCGTTACGCTGGAATCGTTCAGAAATCGAGAGTTGACGTGCCCAGAGTGCGCCCAAATTACCCCACTCAGGGGCGAGTTCAGGAATGACACACTCAGTGTGAGTGTGACACCGGTGCGACGCACTAGCCGTTCATAAATGCTATAGGCACACCGAGTGCGCGCACTCTGTGCCGTTCAGAAAGTACTTTGGGCGCGCTCCAGGTGTCACACCGATCACACCATAATTTTTTGATGTGGCTGCGGTGTGATTGTGTCTTTATGTCAACAATGTCAACCATTCCTCCCATAATCTCAATAATCCCACCAAATATAAACGAAACACAAATAAGAATTAAAGTTTTTCCTTCAAATTAAAAAAATGAACAACAAAAAAAAAGTAATCCCTATAGATTTTGTGAAATTTTTGAGGAGATGCTCGATTGGTCACACCAAGCGTTCAGAAATTCAAACGAAAGTTGTCGCCTAAGAATTGTCATTTCAGTCACACCCATAAAATCGCACTCGCACCCGGTGTGTTATTTCTGAACTCGCCCCAGGGACTGGGTTGAAAAACGCCCCGTGGTTTTTACCGGGTTTGACGTTGACATTTAGCGCAACACCCCAATTACGTTCAGAAAAGGGGCACCCAGAGTGCACTCCAAGTGGTGACGTCAGAACACTCTGACAAACGACTACTCTACCTTCACACTCCATTTCTAAACGCCTCCAGTGGTTCAGCCTTAGGGTTCAGCTGCTTCGACCAGTAACACGTCGTCAATGGTGCTTAGATTTATTGTTCGGTTAATTTCGTCTTTTCTTTTCTTTCCATCATCAATAATCCTCATGAACAAATAAAAAAATAAAATTGATTTAGCGCTTTCGTTTCGACTTTTGCTTAAAAACTGCACCCGATTGATCAAAAAGCGATCCGAAACGAATTCACATGGTGTCACATGTTCGGCTTAAAACCGAGCGTTGCTCTCGGCGAAATTCACATGTTCGAATTGAGCAGAAGAATACTCTTTGTTGCTCCGTTAAATTCGATGGATCAAAGAGTTTGATCCAAACAATAAAGTACGTTAGGCTATTGTCATTAGTTCTGTTTCTGCAGAAATCACAAACCAGTCAGAGTGAATTTCATTGGTTGAAACTAGTTTTCTGACTGTTTTCAACCAATGAAATTCGCTTTGACTGCTATGTGATTTCTGCAGAAACAGACCTATAGATTTCTAATGGTGTGCCCTCGTTTAGATCATAATCGCTCTCGGAGCACTCCCATATAGATTTGTGACGTCACGGACCAGACGGGGAGCGCTCTGAAAGCAGTAAAGCCAAAAATAGCTGTATTCCTTTCACACTTAGGAGGAGCTCCAGGACAGCTCCGGGGCGTTACGCGCTTATTCCTTTCGAAAAGTGTTTGTTGCACCTGAGTGCTCAAGCCCGACTCGAACCATTTAGGGCAGGTATTATAAAACTGCTTTGACAGTTAACTTGAAGTTAACTTTTTGAATTACATGTAATTTCAGAAGTTAACTTAAAGTTAACTCTCAAAGTAGTTTTATAATACCCGCCCTTAATGCATGAAGGCCAGCGCATGTGTTCCTTTCAAATCGGGGTCGTCTAAGGGCGGGTATTTTAAAACTGCTTTGACAGTTAACTTAAAGTTAACTTTTTGAATTACATGTAAATCCAGAAGTTAACTTTAAGTTAACTCTCAAAGTAGTTTTATAATACCCGCCCTAACACGGGAGCGAGTAGCTCTAGTGTTTTAAGCTCTTGAAAGGAATACAAATAATATGTTATATTGGAAATCGGCAATCGCCATCAAATACATCAATATTATACGAATAAGTTCACTGAATAAAAATAATAAGAGGTACCTACTTAGGTAGGTAGGTGAAAGTGAAAGTGAAATTAATAAAATATGTACCTAAGTACCTACTACCTACCTTAGGGCCGGTCTATTCACCTTATGATAAACTGTCAGGTATGCAATCTGATAGATAAAAACGTAATCTCATTGGTCGGACAGATATTCTCCTACCAATAGAATTATAGAACGGTAAATTTATCTTGCAGATAGTTACAGCAAGTTTATCTGAAGATGAATAAACCGGGCCTTATGTGACATTTCTCCATGAAAAAATGTCATTTTGCGGAATACTTACCTACCGCTAAAGCTTACTTTTCATGCATCCGTTTTCCGTCAATCCGTTGATTCGGAAGTATTCCTATTGGTCGAATATTTTGGCGCCAAAATATTGCACCAATAGGAATACTCCCAGATCAACGGACTGATGGAAAAACGGATGCATGGAAAGTAAGCTTCAGGCTTCCTCAAAATTATCGGTATCGGTGCAAACCAAGGGTAATAGACACTACTAAAGGATTGCTTATCGGCCTCGTTTTTGATAATCGACGACATATTGGAATATTGGTGTGTCACCATTTCCGATGTCATTAAGCAAGTCGTCAGCTGTTTGCTCTAGTGGTCGTAGTTTAGAATTTAAATTTATGAAGAAAATTATTACTTAATTTTGATAAACATAATAAGGAAAGAGGAAGATGGAAACGAGATCTAAAAAAGAGTTGTTTCAGAATGTTAATTAATGTAGTAATACCAATTAAGTATGCATAAAGCAAAAGCCCGCAGAATCATAACCTGTAGTGCAAACAGCACGTCAAGGCGAGAAACGACATGCTGTCTACGTCACAACTCATGATTTGTTGTAGTGGGGGGCTTCAGATTTGTTCCACGCAGGCAATATGAGAATAGGCTATCCTGTAGTAGTAGTGTGTGTATTATCCTTGGGTGCAAACGGCCATTAGTACTTATCTATTATCCGTTCCCTCTCCGTCTCCGAATTGATAATTTTTTGTAGGATGGTATATTTTTGGTCGCTAATCACAAATCTAAAATCCGTTTGTGTCAGTCGCGTTTCGTTTCGGAGTTATCCATCATTATTAGGTCTATGTTCTATCTTCTCTGATTTTGCCAAGCGCAATACCTACTTTGAAACAGTGACATTGCAATAAAAAAGCGACATATTATTATTAAAACAGCAACATGATGAAAGAGCGACATTTAAAATGGCAACATATCAAATTGAATCAATAATAATCAAGAACACTGCTTATTTTGCTTTTCAGCTTATTAGGTATAGATACCTACAGGGAGTTTCAGAAATAGTGTTATAAACTTTAAGGGCGGATCAAAATAAGAAAAACAGTTCCTATGAATATGGGTCCGGAATAGGGTTGCTACCTGTCCGGTTTTCACCCGGACTGTCCGGTTTTTTAAAGGTTTGTCCGGTGTCCGGACGCATGATGAAAATGTCCGGGAATATTTCAAATCACAGTGCGGTGTTTCAAATCACAGTGCGGTGTTTCAAATCACAGTGCGGTGTCTGTAAAAGATATTACCATCCAGGCTGTGCAAACTTGACTGAAGTTGAAGTGCGCGTGATGTATGAGAAAAAACTTCCCTGGACCTGCAGTAAGTGCCAGCCAGCTCAACAACAGTCTCGTACAAACTATGATATTTTGAGGAGGACATCTTTCAATCAACAGGATGATCAGATTCCACTATCTTTGGATACAGCCCTGGCGCAGCACAGCCGCGCTAGCAACCAATTTTCGTTCTCAGGGCAAAACAGGCGACAAACAATGTATCAAATAAGTGAAAATCACCCCATGTCTTGTGGCGAATCTGGACAGGCTGGTACGGGTCAGCGTAAACGGAACTCTCAGTACGATGAGCCTAATGAAGACGTGTCATCATTACGATCAATACTCTTGGATTTGAGGGGTGAAGTAAGGAGCCTTAAGGATGAGGTTGTCACCATGAAATAGTCTCTTGATTTTATAAATGCTATGTATGAATCCCAAAAACACACAACCAAGGTCTTGGGAGAAATGATTGATGAAGTGAAAAAGGAGAATAGCAAGCTTAGGGCCGATGTAACTTTCTTGCAAAATAAACTGCATGTTATTGATCAACAACAAAATGGCAAAAAGCTTATGATAAATGGACCCTATAACCGCAATGACAGCGATGATGAAATCAAATTAAAAACTTTTAAAGTTTTAAAATTTGTAAAGGGGGAGGACGTAATAGAACAGAGCGTAGAAAAATTCCATATCATTAAACCTGCGAACAGAGACCCCTTGGTGGGTATTTCTTTTAAAGAAACAAAGCTTGTTGAAACCTTGTTGAGGTTAAGAAAAGAGAAAGAGAGTGTGGATACAACAGTATGTAAAATAGATGGTAATGGAAAAACGATTTTTCTCAATGAGGAATTGGACAAGCAGACGTATTTATTGCTTAAGGAAGCTAAAAAAATTCGTAATAAGGGCTATAAATATGTTTGGTGCAAAAACGGTTCTGTTTTTGTTAAAAAAGAGGATAAAAGTAAAGCGATTAAGATAAAGGATATTGCGCATGTGGATGAACTCTTACAGGACAACTAACATTAAGAAACCGTTGTACTGTACCAACTAAATATAGGTATCTGTTTTTGTCTTCATAATCATTATAAATGGCTACCTTTCACAGAAACTTGAAGATAGCTAACTTCAACGTTAGTTCTTTAATGGCACACTTCAATGATATTAGGGAACTGATAGAGCATCACAAATTCGATATTGTCTGTATGACGGAAACGTGTTTGAAACCTTGGATACCTTCTTCTGCTGTCGATATAAAAGGATTTAGTTTAGTGAGAAATGATCGCATAACGAGAGCAAGAGGTGGTATTGCCGTCTATGTACGTGATGAAATAAAGGTGAATCAATACGTTCTGAATACATGTAGTGGTGATCCATTGGAGACTTTAATATTTAAGTTCGAAATAAAAAATGTAA